TTACATCTTACATGTGATAACATCTTACATGTGATTACATCTTACATGTGATTACATCTTACATGTGATTACATCTTACATGTGGTTACATCTTACATGTGATAACATCTTGCATGTGATTACATCTTACATGTGATTACATCTAGGTGTAGGAAAATTTAAATAGTAAGCTTCTTTCACAATGCCAATAGCCTTCCTCATAATATTAGCATACAGCATAACGATGCCATGTTTTGTTTACATGTGCACTTTCCTATGGGGACTTGGTGGATCGTGTCCTATCTCGCTGCCAGGAGGCACACGTGTAAACACAGCATGATCTAATTGTGTTAAGGTCTATTTTCAAGTGGCGTTTGCCGTTTATGGGTCAAATTTTTATAAACTCTGGTAAACTAACTTGTTTATATCTGTAGCTTTAAATTTGTACAAGCTCCAAACCTGCCTACATTCGCATGATTCACATAAGCTCTTATGAGACAGTTTTGAGAAACACCCTAAGCTAACACCCATTGTTCACTGTGGGTTAGAATCTCACAGAGATGTCAGACCATTCCAGAGTTGATATTTCTGATGCAAGCAATACACCAAACCATACGCAGTGTATTTAGTCCAGGAAATCAAGTTTGAATTAATTGGATGTTTTACTATGCCTCCCTGCAAGCGATTTGCCTTGAGTGTTCAACAGTCCGTAGTTGTTGGTCTTTACTCTTATCAAGTTGCTTGTTGTCAGTATACAGGGAACCAATCTCAAGTGTTTTTGGTATCATTGCACAGACCATCACCATGCTACAAAGCAAGGTCGGTGTGCTTGAAAGGCAAATCGAGGAGATGATAGAAACCAAACACGACAAACTACAACAAGAAAGGAAAGAACTCAAGTAAGTGTGACACATCTCATGAAGCACATTACATTGCTTTCTGCCGTGGTGTGAACCCCTTCAATGCACGACTGCACTTCTCTCAGACAGTAGTTCCCTATTCATTCAAATCTGAATAGTATGCTATTATATGGATTCTTGTGTGCGTGGGCATCGGTAGTCTCTACGATCTTGCTGTGTCACAAACTTATATTGTAGGTAGTTCAGTTTGTCAGAAAGAAGAAGTCTTTGAACATTTTCTAACACATCAGTCTGAAAATAATGTCATGTAGTGGCATTTCATTAAAAAGGCGTGCAAATGGTAATTTTGATCACATGCTAAACTTTCAGATTGATAGGTTTCTCATCTAGCATATTCTTTTCAGAGTTCCTATAAACATTTTGAAAAATACTCCGCTGAGCTCCTATGGAAGACTAAACTTCCAACAAGAGAGGAGTTTGGCCACTGATAATACCCGTACAAGCTTGAGAGCCATGAGTTGATTACCGTTACAATTAGCCTGGTTGTCTTGGAGTAAACCATAGAATATCCTGGTCTCTGGTAGACTCACCTTTGTGAAGGCATACAAACTGTGAGTAAATCATGAAAGAGATTGTACATTGTACTGCCACAAACCTTCACATCGTTGCCGAGCCCACCATGCAAACTTTTAAATTACATTTCACCCGTTTCCATTGTTTTTTAACTTCTGGAACTTTTTGATTGGACTTGACGTACATTGTCGCAGACGTGTCGGGGAGGAGAAAGTTGCCGATCTCCAACAGGAGAAATACTACCTTGAGACACAACTTGGCAAGGTAGAATGTGAGCTGAAGAGAGCCACCATCGGCCAGGAAAGCTTCCAAAAGAGGATCAGTGAGCTACAAGGACACCTTGACCAGGTAGATAAGAAGCCGCCGTAACTTTGCCGTTATCATCAGAATGGTATGCTTAGCTTTGTTTATCCAAACAGAAATAAAACAGGATTGTGCCCTTGTTACTCTGTGGAAACAGTTCTCGTAGTCGTCCAGTGGATTTTTAAAATGTCCAGATTTCCCTTGTTTTTAGAAGCTTGGGTACTTTAGCATTTTCAGAATTGCAGAGAACAGCTTTTCCTTTTGGCAGAATGCTAAATATCATGAGCAAGAGATGCAGGAGTTACGTCAGCAGCTCAGAGATGCCCACGCTATCACCAGGGATGCCAACCAGAATATTCAGCAACTAGAGGATGCTAAGGCTATGCTGCAAGACAAAGCCAGCAAGCTACATGCAAAACTAGACTCCTACAAGAAGGAGGCAGAACAGCAACTACATCAAATACAGGTACGGACAGATGGGACACGAGAAGATATTGAAACTAAAGGAAAACTGAGACTGAGGGTTATTTGCCAGGGTTTCAGTTCAGGAAAATAGCTGCCAACATGTCCTGTGTGGCTGGAATGGCATGTTACCAGAAGGTATAATCACTGGTCCTGTGACTGGCCTAACATATCCAGCAGGTGGATTTACTGTTTATGTGATCAGGACAGATGAATTGGTCGATGAAGATGCCTGCCACAAACTTTCAACTCTTGCTGGAACAGCAGTTAGGAATTAAGTGTGTCTGGGGTAGGATCCGAAGTAGTTGATGCCCTTGTAACACCATTTCCACATGTCAGAATATTTCAGAACATGAAGCATTGACAGATGTGCTTGCAATTTGACCATGTGTAGTTCTAAGGGATTGTCTCATAACTTGGAATAGTTAGAATGATCAATTTGAAATACCTAGTTTTCATTCCAGTAAAGGCAGCTATTCTACAAGGAACACAACATTCCCATTGGAATGCTGCTTCAGCACGGTCAATGCACAAAGCGGACCATTCATACTATCTGTTTCAATGAAACGCTAGCATGCCAGTGGTTTCAATGAACGCTACCATGCCAGTGGAAACTGTTTAGCAGAACACCAAATGCTCCCAACTTTTGAGATGCTCCCTAAACAGAATTGTGATATCATCGAAACATCTTTTTTCTCAGTTGATAGTTCATCAAAACACAAAATGGCGCTAACAGTTCTTCCACTGGTAGCTTTTTGCAAATTTTCTGTGAAATGGACACCACAGAAATTTGGGAATACATGTATAAAAAGGTTCTTGGAATTTTCTATATATGTACATAAAAGGTAGATGGTATTAACATCAGTGGATCATTTAACTTTACCCAGTTCCCTATGTCTTAGTTTTGTCCTCAATCATCCATGGCAGTAACTACAGTTGCCCTGAACATTTTTTTCCATCCCGCTTAGGAAGAGAAACAAGAGATTGAAGATAAGTTTGAAACCCTGAAGAGCAGCTGTACCGTGATCACAGAACTTGAAGAGCAGCTGACGGAGACATCAGAACGTTGCCAAGAACTCATGCTACAGAATAATGAGATGGAGAAGGAGATTGAAGGACTGAGAGAGCAGAATGAAAAACTGGAGCTGAACGGAGAGGAGACTGACGAGGAACTCAGAGAGAAACGAAGGACATGCGCTAATCAGGAACTGGTAAGGAATGGTTTCATTACACATTTTTTAAGCCTCAGAGGAGGTTCTGGTCATTACTGGTGACATTTTTGTCATTGGCAGATTTGTCGTGTCCTAATCGCAATGTATCAATAATCACTTCTTGGATTGGGCAGGCCATGCAAAGGGGGAGGGATGGGAAATAGTTGATGGGTGCATAGCAGTGTTTGAGTACTCATTCTCGTACTCGAGTATACCTAAGTACTCAGCCTGTACTTGAATATCAGTACTCAAAAATTCATTGTACTTGGCCCGTACTTGATTCTTTGTACTTGGATTTTGGGTGTGCTCAACCCTTAGGTACTCGGTACTTGACCCTTGTACTCGAGATCGAGTACTTCACTTTTTCATTAATCATGGTTTTCGGCACTGGGTGACAAGCGAAGATTGCATTGCTCAACCATGAACACAACACGACACAGCGGTTTCACTTTGTAGTCTGAAACATGTACAGAATGCTTACCGTGCCCTGGGCACATCTACAAAGAGCCTTTCAGCTAGTCTAGTTTCCGTCTCTGCAGCTTTTACTCTAGGAAAATGGTAGTGCAAATATAAGCCAAGCTCATGCTCCATGCGTGTCGCAACACATGGACTGACACTGACAGGGTTTGTTGCACCTTTTTGTAGCTTTTTCATAGTTGAATTTGATTTCCAATACGCTATTTTTTTAGGCCAATAAAACGGTTTGCTTCCGGTTTTCCGAACGGCCCTAGAATTTGTATCTGCAAGTTGGGAAAAATAAATAAAAAAATAAAATCCTGTTGACATTTCTGTCTTCATTACACCATGGAGAAAGGACATAGAAGGAGTTTTAACTGCCCGGGCTCTAACTTCTGGCCAATTACCACTTCCTGGCATGTCTGGTATGTCTATAACCAGAATGCAGCGTGCACTTGCTAAGCACCACCTGTTTCACAACCATAAGACCCCTTTGTACCCTATGATCATCGCCACAATTTTTCGTTGGTAATCTACATCCTTAATTAAAACTTTGAGTACTGAAGTATTGGAAGTTGAATATTCATGCCATCGCTGGTGCCCCGTATGATCTGACCACAACATCAAATTTAATGCTTGCGCAGTTGCTTATATTAGGCTGAGTACCCGAAGTGTTCATGTGCAGTTACTGCCCTAATTAACACTTTCTTCTGGACTTATTTTGGGAATAAATAGCCAAGTTTATAAGATTTTGTGTTTTATTTGAATTATTTTTTATATGGAATTTATACAAAAAGGCATTTTATGAGATCTCATGATCACTCCTTGTGATGAAATAGTGCATTTTGTTTGTTATGAACTTAACTGTCCTGTGGTGTTCAACATGCTGTTGGCCAGTCTTAGCCAAATTCATACAGAGACTTTGAAAACTGATGTTTCAGAGTGAAGAAAAGAAAATTACAAACATTGCATGGATAATGGAAAAGTGTGTCAAAATTTAAACAAAAAAGTTGGCAGAAGTTGGCAGAAGTAAATTTAATGGTAGAGACTTTTTTTCTCTGTTTCCTGGTCACTGAGATACACATAAGTTGTCGTTAATTGCAAAGAAAACAGCACAAATATTACGAGGATATTACTGGCCCCACTTGTCCGGCTTAGATACAGGTAGTAACGGGGCATTTGTGGAATGTTTACTATTATTTGTCTGGCCATGCGGCGATGATTATCAAGTACTTCAAAGTGCCAGAGTTGTGACTCCTGTATCCTTCCTCCATGGTTATACTACACCGTACATGTACATCACGCAGCTCTACAGCTGCACGTCGTAAAAACATTGATGTTGAAAGATTTCTGCAAGTTAATTCACAGAACTTGATATCTTGTCTATGTATTTTCTGTGTTCATGAATTTCATATGAGGTTGTATTGCTTGTACTGAAGCAAGCGTGTTTCCACAAATTTCCTGCCGCGGCACAAGTTTATCACCCATCCCTCTAGGTGCATCACGTACGCTTACCACGCTGTGAATGGACATTGTTTGCCAGATTCCTGTTGTGATTACTTGACTAGCATTGTGTAGAGTGGTGTGATTGTTCATAATTCTTAAGAACCTTCGATTGTAGATATGTTTACATTGATTAAGGCAACTTTTCATCACTTTTTATGATGTAAACATTTTTTGCACAAATGAAATTTGAAAGTGGTAATTACTCGGTACAGGTGATAATTGTATGGTGTTTGAAGTGTTTGCATTTCATTTGCTTAAAACCTTCTTGGTATGACACATGTATATGTACTCCCACTTGGACTTCGGTACTCGGACTTGGCCCAGTACTCGGCCTTGAACGTACTTGTACTCGGTGCTTTGGACTCGGACTCATCACCAATGTACTTGTACTCGGCCGGGGACTCGGCACCTAAAGTACTCGGAGTACTCTGTACTCAGGTTTGAGGACATGATGCCAACATTGGTGCATAGTGCTCAAATTACTCACCATGGAGATGAACTTTTGCAAAACTAAACATTGCTTCTTCATTGCCAGACTTGAGTAAATGAAACACCTGTTCCATGGGCAGAGCTCAGTCTTGCTATTTCTACATATTTTCAGTAACCTTTCTTATAACCCCCATGTCAGACCATCTCGATGCTGAAGTCATCTTGCATGATGCTGGAGGAGCAGATTGTAGACATGGAAGCCCTGAGTGCTAGGCTGGAAGACAAGGAGATGACACTTAGAGAGGAGAAGGAGAATCTGGAGGAGGAACTGAATCAGAAGATGATGGAGCTTCAGAAAACTGGCCAGGCACTGGACACTGAGAAGCAAGCTAGGTAACAATATGATAGTCACATTACTTGTGTTGTGGAATATTAGCCTTGATGACATTTCACCAATTAATGGTTCAGTTGCAACCCTTTGTTGCTTGCTGCCTGAATGACATTAAAACCTCAAATGGATTTCTCTGGAGAGTCATTTTTAGTACTTGTACAATATTTTGTCTCACAACTTTGTCTTTTGAACACATTGAGGACAACCTCGGAGCAACATTGCTACTGGTACAATGAACAGGCCATTTCAGTACTTGGCTAAAGCAGGTTACCACCCTTGGTCAATCTCCATTAGTCTGTCAGACAGTGTTGATTTGTGTATAAAAAACAGCAACCACCAAATCATGAGGTTGAGTGCTTACGTGACCCACCACTGTAAAGATACACAAGTTGAACAGTCTATTGAAGCATAGTATCATGGATGAAAGTGAGCAGTGTCCGTGTACTGCTTGGGCAATATGGAATCTTCTGTTATTATACTTTAGAGAGTGGTCTGAAGAGAAATTGAAGGAGGCAAACAGCGCCTTGCAAGAAAAGGAGAGGACACACAAGGCTCAGATTGAGATGTGGCAAGCACATGTAGACGAACATAAAGAGAAGGCAGGCAAGATGGCAGAGAGTGTGAGTATTACAGCCACTGTGCGCTGGTCATACCAAACTCAGCTGATCATCATGACATGAGTCTGTCATTCTGCACATCCAATCTCACACCCAATGGAGTACATGTAACTTCGCAGAGGCCAACATCACTGGATAACTTGGAGCATTTTCGAATCCCTGTTCTTGATAACACTCGAGTTACACGGGAATGGTGTTCTTGAGCAGGTTGTTATGAACGGGCAGGTGCATGTCGGAGACAAAGCAATG